TGCACATTATATTACACTTGGACACCGAGAGAAGTGATTGGTGAGAAACGGGGTCGGTTCCAAGAGGAGTGGGGTCGATAGTAAAGCCTAGTGAGAGGTGGTAATTTCGAACACTTGAGGAAGGTGACACGGGCTAGGCTAACACTTAGAGGGTGTGAAGTGTAATTATAAGTGTGTAAGTTGTAAAGTTTTCGGTAAACTAGAAAACCGATTGTTGTATTGAGCCTAATTGTGAGGATTCACTTTGTAATACACTAGTACACCAAGAGAAGTATGTGGTGAGAGACGGGGTCATCCCAAAAGTAGTGGGGTAGGTGGTAATACCTAGAAAGAGGTTGTAATTCCTAACACTTGAGGGAGATACGGACTAGAGACCAACACTTGAGGTGATAGTTAGTGTGTTTACATTGTGAGTGTTGTAAAGTTTTCGGTGAGCTAGATAACTGAGTGTGAGGTGTAAACGTTATTCGGGTGAGCGTAGAAAACCCGGTTGTGATAGTGGAGATCTCCTCGAGGTGAGGAGCGGAGATATAGGTCGTGGGGACCGAACTCCGTGATCATATTGCTTGTTTGAGTTTGCATTGGCGCACTTATTTTTGTGTTCATCTTATATCGCCTTTGTTAATTTCTCTTTGTTTATATTGCCCACTATCTTGTTTTGTTTATGTTTATTTCACCCTTGTGTTAATTGTATATCCTTGCTCATATCTTGTTGAATATTATTCTTGCTAGGATATATTATTAATTAGTTTTAAATTGGTATAAATCAGATTAGATTAGCATAAACCCTATTCACCCCCCTCTAGGGTTCTTTCCTAGTGGCATCAGGGTACTTTCAATTGGTATCGGAGCACTTTCAGATGCTTTGAATGCTCAAAACTTATAGGAGACCATCATGGTCCATGAGAGGCCACCGAAGTATGATGAGGTGATATGGGACAAGATGAATCAAAATGCTTGTGGGGTAATAAGATTTTATTTGGAACAAGAGTTGAAGTATGATGTGACATATGCGATGAAGATGTGAGAGATTCTCAATAACAAATATCTTACGAAGAGTGTTGAGAACCGGTTGCACTTGCTACGAAGATTGTTCAGATTCTAGATGTCCAAGGGTACCTCACTTGCAGATCATGTGAACAACTACACAAAGTTATTGTCGGACTTGGAGAATATGGATGAGAAGATATCGAATGAGTACAAGGCAATTATTTTATTAGGCTCCTTACTCGATGAGGAGTATGATACCTTCGTGCTCACTTTGTTGAACGGTAGATCTTCTATCACTTGTAGTAAAATGACTAATGCGTTGACAAATTTCGACTTGAGGAAGTAGGATAAAGAATCTTCTAGAGCAAGCACTTCAGAATAGGCCTTGTCAACAAGAGGTAGGAGTCCCTATCCGAGATGTGGCAACATAGGCAGGTCAAAGTCAAGAGGCCACTACCAATTAGCGAAGAACCAGTGTGTATTCTGTAAAAAACAAGAACATTGGAAGAGAGATTGCCCGAAGCTCAGAGAGAAGGAGAATAGCAAGAAGAAGGGCCCGAAGACCAGCGAGGTGAATGTTGCTAAGAGTGGTAACGATTCAGATGATTTATGCTTTTCTCTATTGATTACTCCAAAGGTAAACCATGCTGATGCATTGGATTGGATGCTGGATTCTGGTGCTACTTATCATGTGATTCCCCGGCGAGATTGGTTTGCATATTTTGAGAAACTCGATTGGGGGGGTGGTCATAGAAAACGATCAGTCCTGTGGTATTTATGGGATAGATACCGTTAGGATTCAGATGCACGATGGAGTTGTTCATGAATTGAATGAAGTGAGATTTATTCCTCAGCTAAAGAAGAATCTCTTTTCTGTTGGAGTTTTGGAGGCAAAAGGATTCAAGATGACTTTTGAGAGCGCTGTAGCAAAAGTTACTAAGAGAACTTTGGTAGTGATGAAGGAAATTCGTAGTAGGAATCTTTATTATCTGAAGGGAAGCACCGAGATTGACCAGGTAGCTTCAACTATTTTAGAGGCGGACACGAGCATACTTTGGCACTACAGATTAGGGTATACAGGTAAAAAGTCACTACATACGTTGTGTAAGCAGAGGCTATTGAAGGGAGCCAAGAGTTGGAAGGTTGAATTATGTGAGCACTGTATTATTGGTAAGAAGACTAAGGTGAAGTTCAGGATAGCCGTTCATAGGACGATAGACATCTTGGACTATGTGAACACGGATGTTTAAGATCCCAGCAAGACGGCATCACTTGGTGGTCGGCATTGGTTCATCACGTTTGTAGATGACTATTCTAGACGTTGTTAGGTGTACACCACGATGAAGAAAAGTCCTAGAGATATTTGTGGAGTAGAAAAGAAGATTGGAACTACAGTCAGAGAGAAAGATCAAGACGTTGAGATCCGACAATGGCAGCGAGTACACTTCAGACCCCTTTCAGCAGCTATGTCGAGACAAGGATATAGAGAGATACTTCACAGTTAGTCATACACCGTAGCAGAATGGGGTGACAGCGAGGTTGAATTAGTTGGATGTGAAAATAGCTTTTCTTCATGGTGATCTTGATGAAGAAATTTATATGACTCAGCCATTTTGGTTTTGAGCTGTCAGAAATGAGAAATTGATGTGTAGATTGAAGAAATTGCTATACGGTTTGAAGCAATCTCTGAGATAATGGTATAGGTGATTTGATGGGTTCATGATTGGCCATTCGTACATTAGGAGCCAGTTTGATCCTTGTGTGTACTATTGTAAGTTGCATGGAGGTGCATATATTTACTTATTGTTTTATATCGATGACATGTTGGTTGCTTCTATTTCTAGATCCACCATAGATAGATTGAAGATTCAGCTTTTGAGCGAGTTTGAGATGAAGGATTTGGGTGAATCGAAGCATATTTTGGGGATGGAGATCGATAGAGACAGAGATAAGGGCAGAATTAGTTTGATACATGTGGCTTATTTGAAGAAGGTTTTACAGCGATTCAATGTGAACATGGAGATGAAGACAGTCAGTGTATCTTTGGGAGCCCATTTGAAGCTTTCAGTTGACCTTTTACCAAAGACAGTTAAAGATAGAGAGTTGATGTTGAAGACTCCATATGTGAGCGTAGTGGGAAGCTTGATATACGCCATGGTTTGTACGAGGCCAAATTTATCACAGGTAGTTAGCATGATTTCATGATACATGCACGACCCAAGTCTGGATCAATGGGATGCCGTGAGGTGGATTTTGAGGTACATTCGAGGTACTCTCAGTGTTGGTTTGGTATTTGAGCGGGACGCTAGTGGTGGACAACTATATATTGGATACGTAGATTCGGACTATGCTGGAGATTTGGATAAGCATCGGTCGACGATAGGATATGTGTTTATTTTGACTCATGTGCCGGTATGTTGGAGATGCACCTTGCAGTCTACGGTGGCTTTGTCGACGACAGAGGTAGAGTATATGATGATTACGAAGGTTGTTAAGGAGGCAATTTGGCTTCGAGGACTTTTGGAGGACCTTGGTGTTTCGTAGCGATCCGTTACTATTTATTATGATAGCATGAGTGCTATCTATTTGGCAAAGAATTAGGTTTTCCATGCGCGGACGAAGCATATTGATGTTCGTTATCACTTCGTCCGGGATGTTCTTGAAGATGGGGATGTGGAGCTTGTGAAGGTCCACACAAGAGGCAATCCAGCAGATATGCTCACAAAGGTGGTCCCGAGCAACAAGTTCAATCATTGTAGAAACTTGTTACAGATTTGTGCTTGTTGAGGCCTTTCAAGGCCATTTGGATGAACTACGGGTGGCTTGATCTCTTAGGAAAGGGGGTACGCAGGCAACCACATTGGTGCAGCCGGATTTGGAGAGATGACACATTGGTGCTCTTGTTGGTGTCGGCTCCGTTTTGGGAATACTTCGCCGAGGTAAAGAATTGTTGGATAGCAGGTTATTGGGCCAAATAGGATTCCTAGTCTGTTTTGGTTTTGGTTTTATAATTATTAGGATTCCTAGTCTGTTTTGGTTTTGTTTTTAGAATTGTTGGATTCCTAGTCTGTTTTGGTTTTAGGAGTTTCTATATATATAGCACATTTTAGAAGAGAAATCAGAGAGAAAAAGATGTTCTTTTGAGCACTTTGAGAGGGAGATTTCTAAGAGGTGAGTTGAGGTCTTTTGGTGAGGGTTATTTTGAGTGTTTGAGAGTTGTAACACATTGTTTTTCTCCTCAATACAGTGAAAAGTATCCATCCTCTCCTGTGGACGTAGGTAATTTGCTGAACCACGTAAATATCTATCTGTGTTTGTGATTGGTTCGTGCCGTTCTTTTGTGAATTGCACTCGTTGGTTGTTCTCCTCCCGTTGTTCGCTGACTCGTGTTGGTTCGTGTGCATGCTTCCGCCGACGCGCAACAATGGTTACTGCCTAATAAATTTCTATAGCGGTCGCCAACGAGCTCACAAAATTACCATTGATCCCTTTTTCACCCCCACGCTCAGATTGATCGGTCATTTCCCACACGCCAAGAACTACCCCCCAAAAAATTATACTTCTATCACCCCAAATACTCCACCAAGTATTAGCATTGACTGAACAATGAGATCGAAAAAAGGAAAAAGAAAAAAATCAGTATTCGGAAACACATGTTCGCCTTTAAAATTTGTCGCACCAATGAGTCTGGGTTCTCGGTCAATCATCATCCTTGTTCGGCAAGCAATGCTACATTAAAAGCTCATCCCATCATCTTTCTTCGGTCTATAAAGCCACCCCCAACTTAACCAGTGAATGTCGCCGCTAAATCTCCCAATTAAAGAATTTAATTTCATAATTAATTTCTCCGGAAGTCGAAAGTAACTTAATTTATACACACTTTTAGTTCCTGCTACTAGAAACAGTTGTAAAATTTTCCAAACAAAAATTCTCAATCTGAACATATATAGCTATAAGCATTTTATAGGTACTTTTAACTTTTGTATTAGTTCTTTGTAATTGCAACAAACTTCACCGATCGAGTACATTTCAATTCGAATTAATGTAGCTGAAACAACATATATAAGCACAATAGGCGACTACTCCAAACAGACACACACTAGTTATTCAGCGACGCATAACAGAGGGGCTACGTGCAAAACTTGCAGCACTTGCTACCAATCTTTTCAGGCCTTTTGGGTCCCTGTTAGGCCTTTCTTTTATCATTTCACCTTTTGCTAGAGCTTTTCACCCTCTCTCTTCTTTTTTACATTAACCAAATAATAGAAAAAAAAAAGAATCCAAGACTCAAACCTATCCGAAACTCTTCAAGCCAACGCAAAACTCTCGGGGAAAAAAAAAAAAAAAAAAATGCACACAAACAAATTAATTAATCAAACCAGAGACCCGTTAGACAACTCAAAAACCAGTGTCAGGGTGATTTTTTCTCATGGATGTTGTCCATCTCTAGTCTTCTCCTCTTGTTGCTTCTAGTGATGAAACTTGTGTTATTATCACCAGCACTAGGACAATTCCTCGACTCTTCAGTCATCATAGCGTAGCAAGAGAACACATGGTCCTGAAAAGGGGGCGAAAAAAAAAATCAAATAAATCGATGGGCAGTATTCAATTCCTACAAAGTTAACCTGGATGAAAAACTATGGTCATAGGATACGTTAAAATTAACATTTACATATATTTTGCTCAACAATCGATAGTCTACATTGTAAAAAAATTCCCTTGGGAAATGGTTAGAAATTTGTTCAAACCTTAAAAGAGATTGTGTGATTGCTCCAAAACTATAGTTGTAGTTAAGGAATTTGCGATATTTAATCAAGACTCACAAGCTCTAGAGCCGCACACGAGGAGAAAATGCTCAACTTAGACTCCACTACTTGTTTGTTTAGTCTCTGATGATCGGATGCGGCCAAAACCGCTGCAGCTGCTATAGTGGATGACCGATGGTCCACTAAGTTAATATCTGAATTCGGGAAGGGGAGAGCAAAAAAAAAAAAAAAAACCCATAAAAACAAAATAAATAGCAAAAGACAAATGTCACGCAAAAATTCGGAAATCCAAAGAAGGATTTCCTACCATCAATGATCCCAAAGATGAAACCAACGGATTTAGATGCGAAGTCCCTTGGTTCATTACCCAATTGCAGCTTAGATTTGAAGTAGCTCAGATAAGCAAATGGGGTAACCGAGTTCATTCTCCATTCCAAGGTGCTCAGTATGAGGAGCTCCATCCTCTGTATCGTGTTGCTATCAAATATATGCTCCTCCGATTCATATTCAGAGAGGGGAGGGACAACACCTTCTTCCATTTTCGCAGCAAGGGATAAACTAGCGATGGATAATAATCGAAATACCCAAGATTTGTCCTTCTGTTTCACGCGAATATCAGCATAGATGTATAGTAAAGCATAAAAATAACGAGGGAAATTTCTGAAATGGATTTATTTACATACTTCGAGCCTTCTTCGCATCAAGAACCGATCGTAATAAGTTACAGCAAGATACGCAATCTGATGGCTGAAGTTGAAGTAGGCCCTTGTCTGATTCAAATTAGGAATCAATAAAAGCACGAAGTGGGGAGGGGAAAAAAAACCCCATCAGATGGCGTAAAAATGTTTAATATTGAAGGTGCTTACCTTCATTATCCATTTGATGGAATCAGAGCGAGCCCGTTTGAACCAGCTGGAGAGCAATACATTGCACCGTTTTGTCTCAAAGCTGGTTTCTTTTGATACTAGAATCTCTATGTACTCATCTATATGCTCATGTTCTATTCCTATTTGATCACCGTCGCCATCATGGGCGTCTAAAAGAGGTTGGGTTTCTTGGCAAATGAGGTTGGCGTATGAAAAATCCTCCATTGCCAAGGATAGTGGGAGAGAAAGAGAGAGCTCGAGGTTGAAGGAGAGATGATGCTCACCTTAAAAGCCTCCGAGAGGCGAAGAGGGGTGAGCTCTTTGTATTGAATGCTTGTGGAATTCACTGGATCCTGTTGTTGGGTTACAGTAGTCATTTTGTTTTCACCTTGGGTAGATTGGACTTGAGTGACCTGATGGTCAAGGCTACTCCTGGGTAAAAATATCTTATAGAGGGCCCAACGGGAGTCCACGTCCTATTCGAACCATCCGCATACGAGATGACAGTTCTGACTCTTTCGATGGACAAAATAGGGAGGATCACCGAAGGGTCAAAGTTGTCCATTCGCATGCGAGCGATTCTGATAGGATGTGTAATGCCTAAAAGAAGAGTTGATGAACTTCAAATTGATGCTAAGAACCAAATTAGACTTAATGCATGAGCTATTGTGAATTGGTCCTACTTTCTATTTAAATTCTCTGTTTTTCCTTAACATATACCGATATACTATGTAGGACTATGCTCATATATAAAGTTCCCAATAACTTCCCCTTGTTCTGCTTGTATAGCTCAATCATCTACATGAATCATGGATCCTTCACAAACTTCATCTGAACCAATAGGTATGGAGAGACGATATGGATACTAAACATCTGTAGGACCTTCCACCATCCGTGGACCAGTTAGACAGTTATCACCCACATGAGCAATTCCAGACACTATCTAATATTCGTGAGTTTTATTTAACCCAATAATCATGAATAACGTTATAGCTAACATCCATAGGATCTTCCATATTCGGTAGGCTAATTAGAGTCCAGTGAACTGTGGTCTAAACTGACAACCATGACATGCCAACCATCCTAAGGATCTTCCACCATTTGGGGATTGGTGAGCTTATTTGACCTCATTGTTCTCTCAACACCTTCACACTTCACATTAGATTTTGTTTCTCTTAGTCCACATGCTTGGGTGTAATAGCACTTATCGGAGAATAATTGAGCCCAACAGAGAGGTAATAAGCCTTAAATAGAAGCTAGGACTCAATTTTACCCTAAATATATCTAGGAATTGACCCGAAAGTTTTATTTAAGACAAATACTCTTTCATTACAATGTGGGACTACATGAAATTTCCATCAGGGAGATAAAGATGAAGACATCTTTATCCTAATAGGTAATAGTGATTATATCAATGGTTGTTATGTCTATAACCTGGATTTTGCAAGTAGGCTAGTCAGACTATGACACGTCAACAAACAACTCGGTTAAAAGGTAAACCAACTTAACTTGCTAAGATATGTGACATCTGTACTCAACCTACTTAACCTAGGTCATGACTCTAAGTCTGACAAAAAAAGCCTAGATAGGCAGCCACAGCCATGATGACTGAGCTCATCTTAGTTTGGATATCATGCTTTGCTCAAGCTGTACCCAATCTTATAGCGATTTTCCTGATCAGAGATGATTGATTCGAATTGTATCATATCATCAACTTATAAAGTTAGGAGATATCAATAATTAGCCGAATCTCTCAGATTGCCAACTCTCATAACTCCTCCGATCCTAATACATATCAAAGGAACTTTCCTCCGCCGATGAGGTTGTGACGCATGGGCTTACTTTCACGCTAAGTAAATAACATAACTATCTTATTTGTTTGGATGATGACACATGTACCACCTGATTTGCTCAAACAATCAGTATAAATATGTTGACTTACCTCAAGTAACAGCCATCTTATTCTTTGACAGGCTCAGTGTCGCCGACCTTCATTAGTGACCCTACTCTAAAACCTTAACCTACATACCTACTACTTTGATCTATATGGTCAAGAGTCTTACTTAGGTATTGAAGGGGCGTTGGTGGACAACTCACCACAATCAGACACATCAAGATCAGATCACCATTAGTGATCTAAGGAGATCAAAGGAGCCCTTTATATGGAGCCCAATCTCGTGTCCTCAATTTATTAAGTTTTTCCTTGGATCAACAATTGTCGATAGAGACATGCGCATCGAGATTCATGCTAGCCAAATGTCTACTTTCTCGTCTCTCTATGAATTTCTTATAGTGGACCTTCTATACATTTTTCCCTCTCTCCACTTTAAGTGAACTATAATGCCAACCTAAATCAACTTAGTGTTTGTTAGGTATAATACTAGGTATCGCTAGATTTTACTTTTGAGGACTAGAGATTTATGACCAAAGTAAATAGGTAGATCTTGCTAGATAATTGTTTGTACATGTACTAAACAAGATTTAAACACAATGACTTGTCCCCTGTAACAATTGTGGCATTTATGTTAGCATAATAATTTAAGACGAAGGCCCAAAGGGCTGAGAGGAGGATTTTCCTCGTCTCTTTCCTTGTTGTCAGTCTAGCCCTCTTTCAAACTTGACCTTAATACAATTTCTTTAACTTGATATTAACCAATATCGACTAGGTACAAATTCTATAAATATAAGAGTGGTGGCTCAATAAAGGGCCACGAGCCTTGTCTGTTACCGTTTTGTGGAATGGTATTAAGTATCGGTTCATGTGTTTATATGCTTTAGTTTTATAAATCTTAACTATATTTTCTTAAATCTTTTCAAAATGAGGAACTTTTCTGTTGGTTTGGCAGGGTACGGAGATGTAACATGTTTTCTTTAGCAATGATTCAAACTTTTGCATTTGTTTTCTTTTTGTAATTAAATGAAAGAATATGTTTGTCATTAACTTACAATGTGCATCTCATCTAATGAATATTCTGTTCCTGAATTTGAATTCTATAGGAAATCTATTCCACTATAATAATGAGAGAACCAAAAATTCACTATTCATGCTATAGTAAATGCTATGTATCGTTATTTGAAAAGATAGCACTGTAGTACATGAGGATACTATAGCGCTTTAAAAACTGTAGAAGAGGCGGAATTGCAGAAAACCAAATTTTTTTAAAAAATTACTGTAGCATTAAATATAGGGATTACTGTAGTGGGAAAAAATAATATGTCATGCTTTGCACGCTGTTCACGACTAGTATTTGTAAAATGTGAATAGCAATCTATCACATAAAGAAGTCATGTCCTTTAAACAACATGGTGCCTCTTAGCTTGAACTAAGCTGACCTATCAATGAGGTACGTAACAGATCTCGTCAGTGCATAGATTGTGGTCTAAGAGAGAATACCTCAAAATAATATAAACTTAGCTCTTGGATAGCTACAGCCTACATCGATCCAATTATGCCCACCAACTATCAAGCAAACAAAATTCATTGTCAAAATTTCACATACATTTTAGTAGAAAACTATAATAAATATTTTTCCATGTTGATACTAGTATGAAATCCTGTATTTACCTATACTAAATCATCTCAAACCAATATAAATACCAGATAAGAGTTTATTATTACTCAAATAAAAGATGTTATATGAACGACATCCTAACAATCGCTGCCTTTTGATAATAACAAATTTAAAATTTAAAATACCGAAGTATATGTATATTTGAGATATATACATAGCAAAAATAAGCACAAATACACTTTAACACAACAAGAAATAATTAGAAATGCTTCCCCTACATTCATGTTGTTGATTAGTATATAGAAGGAATATTGGGAAAAGAATATGTTATTTTTCTTAATCCAATGAAAGAATACAACGGTCCTTATATAGAGAGAGGAGAGGGATATATAAGGAAGTAATACTAATATAGCATGATTCAAGGAATCATAACTATACTATATATATCTATACTATATATATCTATACCATATATTCTAATACCATATGTTCTAATACTTCCCCTCAAGTTGGCACACATATGTCAAACATGCCCAACTTGCTAATTAACTTGGCAAATATCTTCCTCGTTATTGCCTTGGTGAGTATGTCAGCCGGCTGATCTTCCGAGCGTGCAAGAGGGATGGAAATGACTTTCTCTTCTAACTTTTCTTTGATGAAGAACCTGTCTATATCTACATGCTTTGTCTTATCATGCTAAACTGGATCATGTGCAATATCGCATGTTGCTTTGTTATCACGGTATAGCATCATAGGTTCTTTTGGAGGGAAACCTTGATCTATCAGTAGTTATTTTAACCACAATAACTCTTAGATACTGATTGCCATTCCTCGATATTCTGCTTCTGTGCTTGATCGGGATACCACATGTTGCTTCTTACTCCTCTAAGTGACCAAGTTTCCCCCTACAAATATGAAGTACCCTGATATAGACCTTCAGTCATATATATTTCCTACCCATTCAGCATCAGTATATCCTTCAACTTTTAGGAAGTTCTCATTTCTTTAAAACAAGATTCCTTTTTCAGGGGCTACCTTAAGATAGCTGATGATCTTCATAACTGCCTGCATATGCTTCTCCCCTGGATTATGCATGAACTGACTGACGGTACTCAATGCATATGATATATCAGGCCTTGTATGTGCCAGATACATCAATTTTCCCACCAATCTCTGATAGCGCCCTTTATCAATAGGCACTTGGTATGTTTCAACTTCTAACTTCACTCCTTCTTCCATTGGAGTTTCTAATGGTTGACAAGCAGACATCCCAGTTTTATTTAGCAAATCTAGGGTATATTTCCTCTGAGATAGGAAGATACATTTTGATGACCTAGGCACCTTGATATCCAGAAAATACTTCAAGTCCCCAAGGTCTTTCACTTCGAACTCCTGAGATAGGTGCTTCTTCAATGCATTATGTTCATGAGGGTCATTTCCTATGAGGACCATGTCATCGACATAGACGATAAGTGCCGTAATCTTCCCATGACTCTTCTTCAAAAACAAAGTATGATCAGAATTACTTTGATTGTACCCGAACTTTCACATCGATCTCGTGAATCTCCCAAACCAGGCTCTGGGGGATTGCTTTAGTCCATACAAGGATTTTTTTAACTTACAGACTTTATTTGTATGCTCAATCGGGATCATATATCCAGGTAGGAACTCCATATACACCTCCTCCTCTAACTCTCCATGTAGGAATGTGTTTTTTACATCGAATTGTTGTAGAGGCCAGTCCAAATTAGCAGGTAATGAGAGTAACACCCGCACGATATTAATCTTTGCCACGGGTACGAATGTCTCCAGATAATCAATCTCGTGTGTTTGTGTGTAGCCTTTT